TTTTTAAACTCTGAAATTTTTATGTCTCGCCTGTTGCTTGCAAAAATCAAAACTGACGCATCCAGCAAAAAAAGACCAAGATCAAGTTATTAAAGGGAAGTAACTTCAAAAGTGCAATTCTTATCAACTACCAAACCAACAGCAGAGAATCATTCAATTCTAATACTTCTAATGTCGTAAAGGAGAGAAACGAAACCGATTTATCAAAGTTTTAAGACGTTTAAGTATTGTGTACGGTATACAGCGTCAGAACGTCATGACGTGCACGAGAGTGACTACAGTCTACACTTCCAAGTAAGTTAACAGCAGAAACGAAATTAGGATTTTAGATGTAAAAAAAGTATATTTTATAGACTATTAAATCCCCCGTGTCTGGAAAAAAAGCGGGAAGTGATATTTATCCGAAACGAAGATATTTTAAAACAATCATAATACGTCTGTAAAAGATGATCCGACACAAATGGAATTGACGAATATAAATAGATAAAAAAAATGTTATATATTATGAAGAATTTTACTGGTATTAAAATATCTACCAGATAAATCTGTTACAATATAACTTACGCCATCTGCTCCAATATTACCTTTTTTTCTTTATTCTTCAATTGTCTTGTTTACTATAAAATAAAACCGCAACACTCCTTCTCTCCTTTGAAACTGAAGATTTACGTTCCTCTTGGCAGTCATTATGTTGAAATATATCTCTTCTATATTAATTCAGCTAACAGATCTTTGATATAAGAAAAACAAAAAAGATACCCTTTATCAGCTAATAATACTTCATTTATTTGTCTTTACTTTCAACATAAACTGGACAGTTGGCGGCCATTACTTGGTTAATTAGCGCGTTTCCTGTTGACGCGAGTAGGAAGTAAGTAAATAATTTACACTAGATCAGCTTTGTGAAAAACTTGTACAAATTGGTAAAGAGAAATACAGAAAGGTTGAAACACGTGGCTTTAAACAACATTGTATCAATAGTCTTTATGTTGTATCTGGTGGGCAAATTTCGTAAGATCTTCAAAACACACTCATTACCACATTTTTCTTACGATTGTGGATATTTGTGTTAGGATCCCTGTGTATGGAATCAGTCTATTATAAATATATAGAGAAATAAATAGAGTAGGAGATGATATATAAAGTACAACACCTCCATCACCAACTCTGTGTTTATTTGAACACCTCTTTTAAATAAGGCTTATATTTATATAGCAGATGGTAAACCCGATGAAATATTATTCCTGTTACTTGCATCGTTCCATACTGTAGCAATAGGTTTTAGGTCTTCATGCAAAAGATGAACCCTAATGTGCCCTTGTCACTGACGGTTCATATCCAGTTGGTACAATAAGAAAGATACTGCTACTAATTAACAATGACGGTTAGTCCATACATGAGTGCATTCAAATGGTCCATAGTTTAGTCTGAAAACCTTGGAATAGTGAAGATTTATTATCTACTCCGTCTACATCGTGTTAGCTCAAGACATCTTCCTGTAACACACATAAATGGAAACGTGGTTCCCAATCAATACTAACTGGTATGATGGCAGAGCAAATTTAGATTACCTAACTAAGTAAAGAACCTCTAATGCATCTCAGGAGGTCTAACAAACGACGTAAACACACATAAATATGCGAGGTTTTTTATGCGTATCGGAACAATGATAGCATCAATTTGCACCATTCCCATTTTCAATCAGACGTCTGTGGTTCTAGAAATTCTACTAAAACACTTACTGACGCAAATTGGTGCTATCGTTGTCCCCGATACACATACAAAATTTAGAAAACCTCTTTACAATCGCTTTAATTTGGAGAACTGTAGTCGGGCTGGAGATTACCAAGTTTATTCCAACAGAAAACTAGGCACACTGAGCAATTTTGCAGGATCATCTTTATCGGCTTCATCGTCTACGTATGTGAGTAACAGTATGGTAATCTTTCTGTGGTTGAATGCTATCCCAAGTGCAATTTAGAAATTTTGGACTTCTTGAAAGTGCAACCGGACAGTCAATGAGTATTTTAGATAATTCCACATACAATGCCAATGTGATTGCAGTGTTATTTTGGCTCAACCCGATTTTTGAAATGACAAGATGTATGCACGAGAATATTAGTTCCATCTCTCAAATAATATGTTCCTGGGAATTTTGAAAGTAAGCCTCGAAATTCCAGGTATTCTATCATAAAATACAATTATACAGTTACATAACTTTCCACGTGATTTATCTCCCTTTGAATCTAAGTTTAGAAGTCTTGCACGTGATAAAAAGTCAATTTTGGCGGGAAATCAATGGTTGACTAAAAATTGTAAAGTTACCAAGTAATAAGAAAAGAAACATTGTTTTACTGAACAATTAAAAAGCAATATAAGTATTGAATAAGTAAAGAGGTAATTACTGATGTTTCTATTCTCATCATTCCTCTCATGTCTGCTATAATATAGAATAATATTTACAGACTAGCATACTGTCTTTAATCTTTATTATCATCTTACAACCAGTAGGAAATAAATAAGCCATGCAAAACAACAAATTCCAACATTTAAAGAAAACATAATGTTTAAAACTGCTCCAAAAACTGGTAAATACTTCACATTTTAACGAGCTTAATGTTTTTCTCTGTGCAATTGAGTCCAAAAGTTAATCGAGCATATAACATAGAAAAATGATGTTTGATCGTTTGTAATGATCTTATCGCGAACTTTGTGACGGATACACGTGTTAAAGCCATTGCTTAATATTTCCCCCAAACGTCTTGACATATTTCGTTATGGAATGATCATCATGGTTCGTTGCAGACAAACTTATAAAATTGATAGTTTAGTGCAGCTGTAACTAGTTTATTACCAGAGCTGATGATGGAATGGTTTAAAGGGTAATTAAATACATATTTATATTGAGATATATTCCTCACTTTAATGGTTATAACTTCCTCTCTAAAACATATTATCTTTTCATAATACAAACAATGAATTTAGCAGTCATCGGGAAAGAAAATACAAGTATGTAATACAAGTCGTATTTATGTTTACATGAAAGTAAATTAGCCATTTATAAATAATATTTTCTGATTTTACCAGATTGTCGACTCGTGTATTTCATACACAGTCTTATGTAATTGTTAAACTTAAAGAGATACTGTCGCTAGAATATTTGTTTTGCCAGGTTATAGACCCTTTTTTCAGCTTACTCGGTCCCTTTTCTGAATTAAGATCGGACTCGTGGTCCATTTACAAATTCCGATGAAAGTTATCATTCTGACTCGCAGCTATATTGTCGTCGTCGTGATATCGGTATAAATCTTTTAAGTTAACGTAATAACAAATCTTTCATTTGTATATTTTGTTAAATTTCTATTGCCAAAACGAGCAAATGAACTGGTGCATAATTAACGTTTAAAGGACAGTGGCGCCATTTTGGAGGGTTGATTTGAGTGTTGAATATATGTAAATAGTCTTCAGAAGTACAAGGTATGTACGAAAATCGCACAATTTCTTCAAAAATATCTCAAACAAGGAATTTCTTTTCTTATTTCTATACATAGATGTCTTTTCTATATATGTCAGTGTCTCAAGAAAAGACGACTCGTCTTTTTAACTTTCAAACGCGAATAATTCTGGATTTGAAGGCTCAAATTTCGACGGTGACCTGTGAACAATATTACTGATTGGCTTAGGTAAACACTTCTCGCTTTTGAGACTAAGGTACGATTAGTAAAAAAAAATGTCGAATCTGTCCCTTCAGCTTTTCAGAACGTGCAGGGCAATGCGACGTAAATTGGATCGATACCTTAATAATACATCAAAAAAAGTTCAGCCCAAAGTTTGCACGTGGTTTTAAATGGGATCATTTCCGAAAGAAAGTAAAATATTTACTAATGGTTATTGTTTCAACTTACTTTGATGTAGAAGTGTTTAGATGAAGTCAATAGAAGAATAATAATAAGTTCAATATAAAGATTAATTATAATACAATAGAAAACAATAGCTGGATTAATTAGCAATATTTATTATAGTCATATTTCTTCTATTTATTTTTTACCGTGTTTGTGATCCTCCATAAATTCTATCTAATTATAATTGTCTAAATATAAATAATTCCATTCTTCAGGTGAACCTTAATGATTTATTGTATTTCGAAACTGTTGTCATTTCACTGAATAAACTTTTCAATGAAGTAATTATAGTTTTCAAATTCCTTTTTCGTCTTTAAATAAATTTCCTTTCGTTTGATTAAGAATAAAAGACATGATTGGTTTATGTTTTTAAAGGAAACTTCGGTTTTTCTATTTTTAAGTGTTTGCACAGGTACCTTGTTGATGGCACATTCATTGGAACGAATATTATCATTTATTTCTATTAAGCTGTGTACAAAACTCAGTGCATTTCTTTTAACCAGAAACGAAAATTTGACATAAAATGTTAAGCGGTTGACTAGATACAAGAAGTGACAGAATATGTAGTTAAATAAAATGAATTGAGATACAACCTAGTCTCTTTCTCAAATTATCAAACTATATTGGTGACTGAGATTTCACGTCTGCTTATTAAAATGGTTGTCATCTTTAAGAGGTGCTGTCATGTTACAGGTCCCTTTCCAGAAACGGTTGTCATAGCAAGAGTCAAATCATATGAGAAACTGTTAGCGATAATTGTCATGAAAAAGATGTCTGTTTTAGAGCTGGTTGTCATGAAAAAGATGTCTGACGTTAGAGCTGGTTGTGATGATAAAAATGTCTGCTTTCGGAGCTGGTTGTGATGATAAAGATGTCTGCTTTTAGAGCTGGTTGTCATAAAAAGATGTTTACTTTTAGAAATGACTATTATAAGAAAGATGTCTGCTTCTGGAGATGGTTCACATAAGAAAGCTGTCTGTTTCTAGTCATCATAAAGATGTCTGTTGCTAGAGATGGTTGTAAAGAGAAAGATGCTTGTTTCTAGAGATGGTTGTCTTTAGAAAGATATCTCCTGTAAGCAATACGTGCCATGAAAAGATGTCGGCTTTAAGAGCTGGTTGTCATGAAAATGATACGATTCTCACGAGGAAGATAACTGCTTCTTTTAGAGATGGTGGTTGTCATCAGAAAAATGTCTTCCTCAACAGTTGTTTGCCTAAAATGGTTGTCGTGAGAAAGATGTCGGCTTTTTGCGATAGTAAATATCTAATTAAGGAAATAGATAAATGCTGTACTTAATATGGGTTGTGATGAGTAAACAATTCATTGTTATCATTATTTTGCTATAGTCCTTAGAACTATACATTTTCTGTATAAACAGATTCTTCGGAGTGACATGTTTTTGTAGTAATATGTTGGTCTGAGTCAACGTCTTATAGTATTGTGATATACCGTTTCGTGTGCCACTTTAAATTAGCAATGAATAATTTGAATGGTAATGACTACATTGTGATATACTATAGGAAAAAATAATATAGGTGAACGATATGTGACACTTAGACTGGTTGTTTGTTTGCCAAACAATGGTGAACATAAAATGATATTAAAAACCCTAACTTTATACAGTGTAAGCCGATCTTGGGAGGTGTCCATGGTTGCACCATGCTTCGTCTAATGTGAGCTGAATACGAAGTTCAGTCTTGATTTTGAATATATAGGTATAGTTATGGTGTAGATAAACTGGCAAAAAAATATAGATTTACAACATATGACGCTTAGATGGTTTCATTATAGTGGATTTCATTGCAATAATGAGTTTCTTAAAGGGGTGCAATTTCGCGATTTACTAAAAATTTGAAACAATTTGCTTCTAAATCGCCAAAATCTAAAATTCCATTTATTAAACATATTAATTGGCTATTCTAAAACTGTTTAAGTCTGTTACTGAAATAAAATGATTTGATAAGTAAATAAAACGTCAAGAGATACTCCCTTTAAAGAAATCCGAGTAGCGATTTAAGATTATCTTAACGATAGGTTAATAAAGTTTAGTGGATTATGTGGATTAGCGGATTAATGAAGTGTTAGTTGGTTGGAAACAGTGTTTGGTGGGAAACATAATCTCTACATTTCATGACTCACTTGTTGTTTAAAACATTGACATAGCAGGTAAGAATCATATATTTCAATAATAAATACGTTTTTACCTTAGCAGTCCTTGGAATACGATGAAACTATGAACTATGGACATTCAATTTGAATGGGCGTATTTTCCATTTCCGTCACGATAGCTTCAATAACATAAAGCTAGTAGGAAAGTAGGTATGCCACCACTCCCCCCCCCCCCACACCCCCACCTTCATTTCCCTCAAGTTGTATGATTTGAGGTACAGTTCAACACCTTTCAATCAAAATACTTTCATTTATTGGGGTCCATATATGTTATTTTTCACACGTCTCTTTCCTTGCAATTTTGGATTCTCGCGTCTACGGTAACGTCGAGTGACGAGAGTCCACCAGACAATAAACGTGCTGATCATCATCTTAAGAAATAACCTTTGATTATTGACATAACAATTGACATTGACATACCTGTGATATGTCATTAAAATCTGTCAGTGATATTACTGTTGATATTTGTATATATTGTATACTTCAGGTCGTCTTGTATTAGCCATGGATATACCACCACCGACACAAAATCGTTTGGTGAAAACAGCCTTACATCAAGCGGTCCTGGATTGTCGTCTGCATCAAGTTCGATTGCTGGTCTCCAAACATAATGTGAACATCGACTCAAAGGATGTCAATGGAAGAACACCTCTCATGTTAACGTGTTTTATAGAAAATGAAGACTTGGGATTTAAAATGGCCAAAATATTTCTTGCGGCAGGGTCGTTTATGAACATCAAGGACACATTAGGTAGGACAGCTCTTGGATATGCTTGTCTTAATGGGAAGGAGAAAATTGTGAATAAAATCTTGTCCGAGGACATTCTAGATATCAACGAGCCGGACAATGACGGGAACACACCTTTACACCATTCCTGTTACAGTGGCAATCCCAGAATAGTGGCGATGTTGGCTAATACATATTTACGATTTGGTATCAACATCGACAGAAGGAACAATTTGGGCTACACAGCCTTGTTGATAGCATGTAAGAATGGATATTATGCTTCAGCACATATGTTACTGACGAAGTGTAGAGCATCACCAACGCTCAAGGACAACGAATTCTATTTGAATGCCGGTGATTGGACTAAGAGAAGCTATGAAATCAAAATGAAAGGTAGCAATCATTCGGTGGGCAATGTTTCTTATGGTAACAGAATAGCACAACAGTTTGCTATCTCGTTTGCTCGTCAAGAGAAGATGTATGGGCGATGCTGGACTCCTTTATGTCGTCATGGTACCGACACGGTTTCAATGTCTCTGGACAGTTCCTTAAGATTACCCAATATCTGTCAACAACAGTATGAGAAAAATCTTGACGAGAATATCATCGATGGCGAAGATGCTAGAAGACTTCTCCTGAATGAAATTCACGAAACTGAATCATCTCGTCCAAAATCAGACAAACATGCATCCGTACGGTGGGCAATGGGGCAACCATCAACGGCTAAACTTCGCTCCCTATCAGTTTCTAAACCAAATACCCGTATTCCAGATATGATGACGATATTCAAGGCCTATTCTGAACAATATCAACCCGATTGGCGCCAAATACAAACTGACACCGGAAGTCACAAACCCAGTGATGTAAAAGCAGACAATAATCCAACCAATCAAACAATCATAAAAGATGATTGTGTTTTCCCTCCAATCACTGAACCGGTCACTGCAAGCTAAATATAAAAATATGCTTAAAGCAGGCTACAATCAAACCATTTGTTTTGGGCTTTTCAACAACTAAATTGCATGCCAGTGAAGTCTTTTAGCACCATTTCTCTTTTTCGAATTTTGAGTATTGACCCTATTATGGATCTTTTTACAACCAGAGCTACTACGTTTAGACGAAAAATATACAGCACTGCCTTAAAGCCGAAAAGGCAGGCCGTCCCGTAGCCAGACTTGATTGTTCGGAGCGTCAAGTACCTATATCCTGTGGGGGCAATGGTATATTGTGTATCGTTGCAGTAATGAAATTGGTCGGTTGTCCAGAAAGGAGGATAATAACGTTTTAATTTGTTCTTTAGTTTGGCACAATAGTTACACCGAGTCAAGCCATATAATGAAATAATCCTGACATCTACCACCATATAATAAACAATGTAATATTTACAATGATTAAACCTAAATCATACCATAATATTTGTGAATGTATTTAATTTCCACTTTACTTGCTATTCATTCGAAACTACGTATGGTTCTTACGTGAAGATAACACCATGTAAGAACCATACGTAGTTTCGTATGGGTTGTTACTATTTCATGTTGTTTTGTTGTTTTTTTGGAAAAAAAATATTAATATGATGGAGTAGAATTTTATGGGTTGTACAAAAAGGACCAGTGGTGCACATTTTACAGTGGAAAATTAATAAGGTCTTGCTTGAACGTTTAACGTCGTTAGCGCCGTCAGTTCGCAATGCTTTCGCAAAGCCTAGAATACACAACCACAACAGATTTTCAGCAAGCTTCACTCGAAAAATGTACATAAATCAAATGAGATTAAATGTGAAGATCTGCTAAGTTCTCGTCTAAGACACAACTACACAAGGGGTTATGGCGAACACCACAGTCAGTAGAACAGTGACGTGGGCACAGATAATTCAAAAGAGGCAAGAAAACTACTACTGTAACATACGATTAAATTGTTGCCTCTGTCTTATGCTGGTTCTGTGTGATAACATCAACAAAATTCATTTGCCTAGCCAGAACCATAATGCGTTAAACACTGTCTTATTGTATTTGATAAGGCAAGTGTCGTTCCAGGGGAGATAAATCTATATAAGGTACAAAAATTCAGACAACAGTTAATCCATATTGTCATTACAAATGGGATATGAATTACCAATTTAATATATAAAGATTTATTAACATTGGCAGGCGTTTATCACACAAAAACATAATGTCACGATATTTAATTATTCCATACAACAGATCTTTCAATATCCTCAATAACCATCATAATCAAAAACTTTCAAAAATCAGTGACTCTCCCCTTTCTTTCCCAATCACCATATCGAGTAGGTTCAGGGCCCCGAGGTCCCCCTATTTCACCTGTTACAGGATTCTTATCATCAGGGAATTTTTCTAATGGTTCTGTTTCTTCAACTTGTCTTGTATCATCCATTTCTAAATCATCTAATTTGCCCATTGGCGTTTTCCTCTTTCTATCATGTTCATGGTGGTGGTGATCGTGTCCATCTTCAGAATGAAATCTTAATGTTGTTGATAATGGTGTATATTTTATAATTCTTGGCAATTCTCCTAAAATAGACAGAGCCATTGTATCAAAGACATTGTTATTGGAAGTCCTATTAACCGCAAAGCATACACAGTTAAACTGATAAGGTTCTCACTGAAAGAATTTGTCTGTCAGTTCACAGATCGTATCAAAAATAACTTAAATTTCCAAATTTTCCAATACAATTTCTTATCTTACAAGTAAAATAAACTGACACTTAGCCTATATATAAAATAAACTGAAACATAAAATAAACTGACACTTAGCCTATATATAAAATAAACTGACACATAAAATAAACTGACACTTAGCCTATATATAAAATAAACTCACACTTAGCCCATATATAAAATAAACTGACACTTAGCCTATATATAAAATAAACTCACACTTAGCCCATATATAAAATAAACTCACACTTAGCCTATATATAAAATAAACTCACACTTAGCCTATATATAAAATAAACTCACGCTTAGTCTTATGTAAAATATAAAATAAACTCACTTCCATCCCAGTCCATGGACTGAAAATTGCTATATATAAAATTCATTTCCAGTGAAAATAAAGACTTATGGTACCCTCACAAGAAAATATATGCCGGAAACTGTGTGAAATCATGACATATGTTTATATCTTTAGCTTCATTGAAACGTTACAAAATTTTCGGACTAATTTTTGTCTTATGTGAATTACGTGTGATTACAAACGTAGTCACAAATCGAATGCAGCATTGTGTGAATGGTTTGTTTACACTTTCTGAAAGGTGAAATATTTCATTTTAAAAACCTTACTGTAAGTCACCAACACATGTACTCTTAATTTTACATTCACATACCATTAATCCATCATTACTTACCGGAAAATCTCAAAGAATTTGAAATATTTCGTAGAACATTGGCCATTTCCTCGTCGACAAGTTGTATAACTGTGGCTGAGTTCGTTATGCTTAGGTTACTTAACACATTTACAGTTGTTCGAAAATGTGCGATTGTAAGCATTTTTTTTTTATTTCCCACCACCATTGTTTTTACAGATTTTTTTAAAGATTTAGACAGTGGGATAAAAGATGGCTAATGAATCAGATGATGAAATACCTGATTTAGTTTTAACTGATGATAGAAAAGTACCTATTACAGTTATTACAGGTTATCTTGGTAAGTGGTTTTTAAGGGGACCAATTCACCAACCATTTTATTCATACGTTAATCTCAGAAAGCCTACAATTGTTATAGCTCTGGTCCATGACAAATTGACCTTGTACTGAAAGCTCCTTTTGCAAAATTCTCTATTGCCTTGCAAATCAAATTTTATTGCCGATTATATTGATCTGAACAGGAATATCTGTTTTCATTATCTGGCAATGTTAATAATGATGGTCCTATGCGAATTTATGAAACTATTAATATAACTATCAACGAATATTCAAATTTTCTCAGAAATATTTGATTTTGACAAAAGAAAGAGGACAGTAGAATGATGTTGGATGTATCACGATCTATAACTTAATGTTTATTAACTCGTGTGTATGCACCACTTTTGTTAAACATTCGTTTGATCTGCCTCCCATATAGTTAATACATCAAGTAGTTAAGTGATACCATTTTACTCCTTTAGGTGCAGGAAAAACCACTTTATTAAATTATGTATTAACAGAACAACATGGGAAGAAAATAGCTGTGATACTCAATGAATTCGGAGAAGGTAGGGTTTACTGTTCTGTAATATTGACCGATGCAGCACCTGTACTAGATAGAAAGCTCTAAATCTTCCTGGAAAGCCTGGCTTTCCTTTGCCATTTCATGATCAATTTTGTATCTTGAAATATCCAGAATGGCTACATCCTTGTTTTTGTCTACATATGGACTTTGACTTGTGGATTACTAAGGAAGACTAAAAGCCAATGCTAGATAGCAACAAGATATATTCTTGATATCTTAATGGAATTCGGGCCACTTGAAATATACTACTTGATACACCCAATCTTTTGAAATATATTCATGGAATGTTCATTTGTCTACAGGAGATGCTATGGAGAAATCTATGTCTGTTGGTGAAAATGGTAATTTATATGAAGAATGGTTAGAATTAAGGAATGGCTGTTTATGTTGTGCTGTAAAGTAAGGATTATCAAATTACATAGTAATTGGTATTCACCATACAATACTCCGAATGTATAGTAGGCATGTTTTGATTAGGAAGATGAAACTATATATTAATTACCTCACATTTAAAGATGGGTTTCCTTGTTTTTTAGTGTCAAATTAAGCAAACTATTTGAATAATAGATGTTTCTAATGAATTACCATGTATTCATGATCATATCATTATGTTCTTATTGAATACAATTAACCAATTATAAAAGTCAATGTATGTACAGTCTGGAAAAACAAATAAAGACTTTTTGACCTTTCTTGATCAGTCACTCATTGAAATTCTGGTAATTCTCTTCTAATTTAACTTATTATGAATTAATTATGGACATGTAAGAAACACCTCTTCTGTCTATTCATATAGGTATTAGCATTTTCATTTTCATAAGAAATAAGGAAACCCATCGTTAAACATGTATTTTCTAACTGAGAAATTCAGCAAAATATTTTTTATAGAGATAATGGTGTTCAGGCTATAGAAAATTTAATGGTAAAGAAGGGAAAGTTTGATTATATTTTGTTAGAAACTACAGGGTTAGCTGATCCAGGTTGGTACTGGATATTTATATTACTGGTATTGAAAACAGCCTACTTTGCTTTGCTGATACACCTGTCAAAATGAGCATGTATACTGTAAAATGGTGCATATAATGCTTATTTAAAGGGACAGTTGCACCATTTTGGAGGGGGGGTGATTTTAGTCTTGAATATATGTTAATAGTCTTCAGAAATACTAGAAATGTACGAAAATCGCATAATTCTTTTTAAAATACTTCAAACTAGGAATTTTACTCACTATTTCTATATATGTCTTTTCTATATATCTCAGAGCATCTTAAATTGACAAGTCATCATTTTAACATTCAAATGCGGATAATTCTGGACACACATGGATTTGAAGGCTCAATTTGGACGGTGATCTGTGAACACTTTTACTGGTTGGCTTAAATATCTTTGAATGATAGGTGATACTGATATTATTATTGTGTGATTATTCTAGGTCCTATAGCGTCAATGTTTTGGTTAGATGAAGACCTCTGTAGTGATATTTATCTAGATGGTATAATAACAATGGTAGATGCTAAATATTGTCAGAAAGTAAGTTAAAACTACCAGACCATCAGCACAGATTCCCCAAGTTGCATGTCAGCCATCTCTCATGGTGAGAATACTACTTCCGAAGTACATGGAGCAAATGATGTTTAATTCTAACCCGCAAATAGACTGCACTATGGCCTGTCTTTTAATGTTAGGCGGAAGCATCTTGGTAGCGCAACCATAAGGTACCCATAAAATCTCTGGTGTTTGTATGTGGATTCAAAGTGCATGTCTCAGAACTCTTTATCTTAAATCTTTAATTGTAGAATTTAGATGAAGTTAAACCTGATGGATCTCTTATTGAAGCAGCTAGGTAGGTCTTTCATTCATTGACTAATATAATTATGTTTTGTTTTACTTGAAAGGCATTTTCATAATATATTTGATTTGTTTCAAGGCATACATTTAAGCTTCCACTATTAAACAATTATTGCTCCTGATTTTGTCATGCTTTAGACAATATGTTTGGTTACTTGAAATGCTTTGCTTCAAGCAGCTTGTACAGATTTTTATTATTTTGCCATCACCTAGCAAAAAACAAAATAGATAATGAATGTGCTAGAGGACCTGGTAACAAAAATTGATTTGCATAGTCTTATTGGTAAACTTCAAATGGATTTGTCAGAAAGTTAAAGCTATCATGAAAATTATGAATTATGATGCTGAAAAGCCATTTTGTTGTATCACTACTATACAGTATCTGTATTATTTAGACAGATTGGTTTAGCTGATGTTATCATTATCAATAAAATAGATTTAATATCACAGGATGAATTACAGACTTTGAAAACAAATCTAAGGTAAGACTATTTTATATTAATCTAAACTTTCAAAGGCACTAGCCAAGGCTTCAAAATTGTTTTTACCTTTAGGAGGATTCAAACCAACAGCACTGAATTGCCAGTGTCAAGCATTTTAATAATTGTTTCAAATGAATATTTGATTTTTACAGATCCTGTAACAGTTTCTCTAAAATAATAGAAACCACCAAAGCAAAGTAAGTATCAAAAATGCTGTCACTTTTTAAGTGTTTATTTATAAGGATATATGTATGACAGAAAGAAGGAGCATTCATGTTGAAAATACACTATGAAATCAGACAAATGACGGAAATCAGGCGAATGACAGAGTACCCCTGGTGCTCCAGATTGAACTGCAAGAATTATATAGCAGGTTTAAATGCATGCAGGCAGCTTTTCCTATATTTTGAATTTGTATTCTAATTTTAGAACTAATCTAGAAGATATTTTAGATCTTAATGCTTACAGAAGTTTAGATTCCCATAGGTATGTAAAATCTTTTTTAAGTATGTTCACCATTTTGGATACCTGATGTCACACTTGAACTGGGTTTATGAATTTATCTTTCAAAATACTTTACTCTTTTGGAGACCCCATGTATCAAAATCTAATTTATCATTTTTTAATTATAGTACTTAAATTAACAAAAATAACATGAAGTTTTTTTCTATTTTTAGTTTAAAAAGTTTATTTAGTGATAGAGGTTTTAATGAAGATCGTAAACATAAAATAGATAAAGTGAGTAAAATGATGTCTCAGAAATAGGCAGGCTGACATCATTTCCTTATGTTACTTTTGAGAATATTCTGGGGACGATTATGGTTTTTCCAAAGTTTGGTGACTTGGAATATTTCTCTTGACTTCTTATTCCAGTTTTCATACTTTGAGTGGGTATGTAAAATCCAGAAAAGTCTTTTCCTAGAAGTTTGGCCACAGACCCACTGATAGTACGACATCTGGGTTATTTCCTTGCAAAATCTGGATTTTTATTCTCTTGTGCCTTTACCATGACCAAATCAGTACTTCATTGTCAATGTAAATGAGATATTTAAAATATTTAAACTTTCAGTATAAGTATGTTTTTTTGTAGACTATAAGAAGTATTACTATAGATTTAGAAGGTGAACTTAATAAAACTAAATTAGAACATTTCTTACAAGATCTTTTATGGGAGAAAAAAATAAACAATAAAGAAAATAAACCAACAGAAATATTACGCCTTAAGGTAAGAACTATTACAATTGTTGTAAAAATACAGTATTTTATTTGCTAAGCTTCCCTTCATACGCACAGCACAGTTTTGTCTGGACTTCATTAGTCCAATCAGGTGCAATTATCTGTGTGTATAATAACTCTAGGTTTTACATTACAGGTTGTATTAACTCTAGGGATTACATTACAGGTTTTTTTTTAACTCTAAGTTTTATATTTCAGGTTGTATTAACTCTAGGTTTTACAGTACAGGGTGTATTAACTCTAGGTTTTACATTACAGGGTGTATTAACTCTAGGTTTTATATAACAGGTTGTATTTACTTCTTCCATTACTGCTTGCATTTCCCCTAAGTTTTATATTACAGGGCATATTAACTGGAGGTTTTACATTACGGTTTGTATTTCTTCTAAGTTTTATATTACAGGGTGTATTAACTCTAGGTTTTATATCTGAAGTGAGTTAACAAATGGTTTTACAATACAGAGTGTATTATCCCAGGTTTATATTATATGGTGTATTATCTCTCAGTTTTATATAACAGGGTGTATTATCTCTCAGTTTTATATAACAGGGTGTATTATCTGTAGGTTTTACATTATTGGGTGTATTACTTCTGGGTTTTACATTACAGGGTGTATTAACACTAGAAAATGAAGATATATGTTATATTGTACAAGCTGTAAATGAATTATATGATTTTCAAACCACATCCTGGAGAGACAATCCTAAAATAAATAGATTTGTCTTTATAGGTAAGTTCACATTCAAAAATTCAATCTTACATTGTCTAAATTATCTTTCGAGAATGGAATGATCATTTTTCCAGGCCCTAATCTGTTTCTATCAGTAGCTCTAGTGAATCTTGTTTGTCTCTAGCCGTGATGAATTCAGAATGTTAGCTCAAATGTGGGTCTGATAGGGAAAAAATAATGCAAAATTAAATACAAATTTTAACATTAAATTCATAACTGAAGTATATGTCATCAACATCATAGGGAATCTACCCAAGATAGATTTATTTACTTAAATATTCTTTAATTTCAGGGAGAAATTTAGAGAAATCAGTTTTAGAAAATCACCTTTATCAATGTAAAGTAAAAAGCTGATGATAATTTCAGGCTGTTGTGTGAAAAAAACTATCTATTCTTAGTGTTAGTGATTTAGATCTGATAAAAACAATATCAGTTCTTTGCCAATTTTTGGACGAAATCTATGGTGTTTAAATTCTCCAATAAATCCTTCTTCTGATGTGATATTTGTGAAACACTGTATAGAAAAAATGAACACTTCAATATTTACTGTTATTTATTTAATTATGTTCAATACATACATATGATTAAAACTACATGGATATTATATAAAACATCCCTTCAAAGTATAAAAAAAAATTAAAGCTCTGGTCTGAAAATGCTTTGTTTTGATTCTATAAATAATACTTAACTTTCCTAGACTAGGAACCGTCTTGAGGGCGATATGCATTTGAATCCATGCCTTAAGGTAAGCAACATTATGCTTTGGCCATTTCTAGCCCACCATGTGTCCACTTTCCATGTAGAAAAAATTAATTAATAAAATAAATGCACATATTAGAATCGTTTAAATAAAAAAAACATCTTTGTACATATCACAGCATTGTAAATAAAATATCAACAAAAACAAAGAATTATTCTTTTTGGACGGAATGTTTTTGAGTTTATGTTCCATTCGCTACCTCTGGTATAATGTAAATATAGCAATGGGAAATTGTAAATACCACTTGGCACATAATTCCGTACTCTTTTCTTCAATAGCCTGTTATGAAGAAATTCTGCAAATTGAATATCCACATTTCCTAAAGCGCAATCCTTTTATTGATATTGCTACTGAGAAAACTTCCCAAATTTTTCTTAACCGAAAGTAACGAATACAACACTAACAAGCAGTGACTAAGACTTCTTCGCTGAACTTGTCCTGGATTTGGTGCCATGTGCTTTAGGTGTACCAAACTGTCTTTTACCAGGTGACCTGGAATATAAGAACCATTAAACTTGTCAGTGGTTGAACTTTCAGTGCAGTAAGAATGGAATCAACATTTAAATCCACAAAAGCATGATCTTCTGTGACTATATATCCCTTTCAACCTAAAACTTAGCGGTGCAGGGGGAGGGGGCACTGAAAATTTTATCAAGATATTATCATATCTGCTTTTTCATTTCTGGTTAAGAATATTTGCTGCTCACATCAAAAGTAAGTACAGTTTTTAAGGTGCCAGCTGCAGAATAAATATTCAAAATCTGTAGCCTTTATCACAACTAGCTACTGCACTAGGTTCAATACACTCCATGAGGTCAAGAGTAAAGAAAGTTTTTGTTTTTTTTAAATGAAAACCAGGTAAAAAATATGCTTACGTAATTTTCTTAGATGGTGTTTTTCTGGTGACAGGGGTATTTGCTTTACTCAAACAGAATGATATTTCCGAATCTTCCCTATAAATAAGTAATATATTTAACATGGAAAGAAAAGGGATAGGCTGGTATAGAATATTTCAAATGGGACATTTTTCATATCACCAACATAAAATTGAAATTTTCAATTTAATCAAAATTCCTCAACTTAAAAATCATAAAACTTGTATATTCCATCTGACTGAATAGTAAGGATTTTTAGCATCTGAAAGTTTTCAACGAGACCTTATCTTAAGCCGCTGACCAGAGCATCACATGCAAACCAATTGTCCAATCCAATATTTGTCCTTGTTATTAGACCCAACAGTTGCAGTGTCATGATTGAAAACTATTTTACATACCTGAGAGGCATAAAATCATTCTGTGACATTGATCTAGTTAAATCATACTGGTCTGGAGTTGTTAGAGGTATCTACAAAGAAATCATGTCTTAATGATATTGATAGGAAATGTATTCAAGTTAACATCCTACTTTTCTGCAATTGTTGGACCATTGGGTAACACTATTGCTAACTGTTGGGATTTTTAATTACTTCATAGTGCGAAGGTGGAAAAGGAGAAAAGTTGTCGATAGACCCATATATTACCTCATTCAAATAACAAAATACTTTCAAGTATAGAGAGTTATAACAAATACTAGTTATATCTGTATAAAGTTCCGGTACCTGATTAGTATATTCTCTATGTATAGTATCACTAAGTTCTCGTTTCATAGCCTCCACATGTTGTCTATGTGCTACCACCTCTTCTTCTAGTGATTTGATTTTAGATGTAGCTGAATGATACACATCAATAAAGGCTGCTACCAGATTCTATAAAGCATAATCAAATTCGAAATTACCACAGACAAATAAAAAAAAAAAACATATATTAAGCTTAAAGCTGATAAAGGAAAGACAATAAACTAACTTGGTGAAAATTTTTAACCTTTAACCTTTTGGATTTTCAACTCGGTTTCCCCAAGTCGTCAGTGATGCAGGTCAGAGGGGCTGAGATGGAAAAAGCATCTAGTCGTTCAGATGGGAGAATAAACCAAGACTCTGTGTGTTACAGGCTGTGCACGTTAAAGATTTCTCAACAGTTGCAAATTGAAAGGGTAGGCTAATGCTGCTGTTCTGGCAAAATTTCCCTCATTGCACACTGCATGGTGTTGACTGTCTTCAACAGCCCTTTTAGGTGCAAAAAAGTAGGACCAAAAAACTCCATTCATTTCATTCTTCATCACAAAGTGTTGCTTTACTAGTGACATAATAATGAGTATACCCTAGCAACCATGACTGTTAAAACCAAGGGAGTAATATAACTTGAGAGTTCAGGGTAGATGATGTGTTATTTCATAACGCTTGGTGTTCAAATGGTTAACATGAAAACAAGTGTTACGTTGCCTTGCCCTTCCAGTATCACTTGGTACATTTAAGTACTTCTTAACCAATACTAAAATCATGAGTAAATCTAAGATTAACTGAGCAGATGTTTCAGCCATCATGCTATTGAAAGCAGGCTTCGAGAGCTTTACAAGAACACTACTGCCAAACTCTGCTACCAACAAGGCATAAGATGTAATTATTTAAGATGTACAAACCTGACAAGCTATTAATTCTGGACCAGCTTTACTGATATCACTAGGTATTAGATCAGTATTTAATAGTAACTGAGATAAAGTAACTTCACGACCTTCTGGTGATTGACGGAACTGTCTTTTACCCTGAAAAATTTGTCAAACGCCAACAAAACATGAGATGTGAAAACAAAATTGTTTTCTAGTATCAAAAGATTAATAATAATCTGACAACTGCTTCATCTACAATTAAAAACATAATTTTGAAATTTTGACTGCTGTCACTTATGTACTTGAGTTGTTTCCAAATAGGAGCCATTGATTTGTATTCATTCTGTGTACATGGTCTCTTGTTCAAGAGTGACTAACAGGGACACCTGTGGACAATCACTAACATTATCTTATGCAGTTTATTATAAGTAGAATTAAATGTAGACCAAACTTTGTTTCCGTTTTTTATATATTAATTTATTTTATAAAATTATTTATTTTTAATTATAGTCACTTCAGTTAGGGTCTAACGACAGACTTCAAATTAACCTTTTGACCTAACCCTAAAGATTAACTCAATAAAATTAATAATTCATGCCATGTTACCTCAAGTAAAGCTTTTTCTACTGATCTGATATAGTTAGCTAGAACTTCTTTATCTCTGTAAAAAAAAAACAAGTAAAGTAATGGAACTTATGCACATCTGGGAAAACCTCCACAATTTTCCATCATCATTTATTCTACCTTAAAAACAAAATAGACTCCTCTTGTTTATGTTTGTAAATTGGAACAAGGAAACAAAAATAATGCAACTTACTTGGCAGCCGTTCTCAAAGCATTTTCAGCATCTGTTAAATTTCCTTCAAATGATTTCTTATCAAATTCATATTGCATGGTCTGTTTATTTAGTTGTCTTATTGTCTGTTCCTTTCTTCTTAATTCACTCTTGATTTCTGACAGATCCTGTTGAACAAAAAAGATGATTTATAGTTACTGACATACTAGTACATTTTAATATTTGTAATTTGTAAAAAAAGCTCTCATTTCCAAATCAGTTGTAATATACCATATATCTAATAAATTTTGGACAGCATAACCATGATCTTTTGTTAATATGAATTTCAATATGGTAAGAGAAAAACCACGCAATCATAGGCAAAAGAACGGACTGTTAGGACTTAGAACACAATATGTTGGGATTGTGCTTATTCAGTTTGTTACAATATCAGCAATCAGCTTAAGAAGGATCTGAAAATTGATCTAAAATTGCACCTGATACCAATAAATTCATAGGCTAATGCCCAAACCAATTCTATAATAGAAAAACTACCTGAGCAGCTGCAGATAAAGTATGACGTTTCTCTTCACCATCTGTAGCATACATCTCTAATCTTGTAGATAACTCTGTTAACTGTCGACTTTGTTCTTGTAATAAATGTTGAGCTTGTTGTTCTCTATGTAAAGCACTATTCAACTCCTCACAAACCCTTTCAAATTTCTCCATAGAAACAAACTGAATATTGGGGGAGGTCTAAAAAAACAAATTTGTCTTTATTTTACTTTGCAAACCTGTTTAGACTTAGGATTCGTCTTAGATAGTTTCAATGCAATATTTTCACATGAATAATTAACCTCGCTCATGGACTCATTTACTGACATAAATCAACTCCTTTGTTAAATTCTGTAGTGTGAAAGGGTGCGCACTATATTCGCAATTATACAGTATTAGTGACCTCCATTTTTAATAAAAATTATACTTTTTTAAATTAAAGGTGGATTGTACCTCTGATGATTTTTTACTAACATCTATGATATTGTTACTAGTTAGATCACTTTCTACAGGTACAGGTGTTTTTAACTTCTTTATATCCTCTAATAAACCATTTCTCTCTACCTCTAGTTTATGTAGTTTACTGGTTAGATCTAATACATTATTCTGTAATGCCATCATCAAATCCTATAACAGAAATACAATTGAAATATCTAAGCCAGCAAATCATCTATTATCCTTCATAAAACACTGATGATGATTAAGCTTATACTAATGATGAACATGATGATGATGATGATGATAATACATTGATGATGTTATACACTGAATGATTAAACATAAGTGACGATAATACATTGATGATGATTATACATACTGATGATGATATACATATATTAATGATAAACATTGATGATGATGATGATTATACATTGATTTTATACATGATTGAATGATTAAACATAAGTAACGTTAATACATTGATGATGATTATACATTGATGATGATCATAGATTGATGATGATTATACCTTAATGATGTTAATATATAGATTACAATTATATATTGATGATGTTGATTATACATGGATGATGATTTTATACATTAACAAAAACATTTTTACTTACATGAGATGAAGCTAAGTTACTTTTTTCACCAAGTGGTTTAGTGGCTAGATGACGAGTTAAACATCTATTTAACAGTTTAACAGTAGAGTGTCTATCTCTAGATGATGATACTAATGATTTAGAAGAACAAGCTGGAAACTGAGCTGATAATCTTTCTAATAATTTACTTAATGATCCTCTAGCAGCTCCTACCAATGCTCTGGTCTCTATTGGATTATCTGAAATGATAATACTTTGTTAAAAATTTTCTAAATTTCACTTTACATGTAGTTATGTTTATGTCCTGAGCCCTGTTTCACAAAAATTCAATCAACCCAAGTTACATTTTGGATCTTGAAAAACACAGTATTCTGATTGGTTTATATGGCTAGATTTAAACTTGATATTATTGATCAACCAATCAGATGAATGTTTAGTTAGGTTTTTGTGAAACAGGAACCTGAGCTACAAGCACAAATGCTTTGCTTATGTTATGAGTTCCATACATCAACATGATTTTGAGATGTAAGAAGCGAACATTCAAATATTCTGATAAGCAGGCCATATTTAATTTGAATAGCTGATCTTCACAAAACAAAACATTTTGGCCTCAGAAAAGTGACTAGCATGAAGGTCATAAATGAGAATAATGACTTACTCTTGCTTTCAATTTGACCAGCAACTTTTTGAAGATCTGTCATTGAAGTAAGAACTATTTCTAGTAAATTAGGACTAGATAACCATTCTAGTAAACTACTCTCTCCAACTTTGATAGATGTATTACCATCCTCATAGTCTTCATCGCCCTGACCTACAAAAATACACAGAGGAAACCTTCACAAAACAAAATCAATTACTTTATTTGGATTTAATTAAATAATATAACTTAAATGGATTATTTTGGTTTTAAAAATGGTACAATGACTATCATTGATTAACAGACTTCAGAATGAAACAAAATATTTTGACAGCCATTTTATTTTAACAAGATAGCTTGTCAGGCAAGGTAACATACACCTATTGGCAGATGTCATTGCTAAAATGATAACACATTCATAAAATTGCTTTCAATGTCAAAAACATTCAATTTGGTTTTATATTGTAACAAGTGGTCATAACAAAAGGAGTTTGTTTATGGTGCCTACCTTGAAATAAGTGTGTTTCAGGCTTCACCCCACCAGTACAAATCAACAAACTATTACCAGAACAAATACTATCATATGTCATAAAGGCACTAGTTGTGCATAAACCAAAATATCGCAACCTATTGGCGGCCATGACAGTTATAACACCAACACGGAATACCAATAATGGATGTCTTTTATAAGGTTGAACTTTTGTCTTTTTGGGTGATGATTTACCACCAAGCTCAGAATTCAGCAAATTAACGAGGTACAACACTCTTTCGGTTGCCATGTCCCAATTTGACATCTGTTCTTCAAATATATGTCGTTGTGAGGAGAGTTGGTTTGAGCGATTTAGTAAAGGAAAGAGTACACCACTCAGAAGAGCACAAGCTGCCAAAAGAGCTGAATTTTGGTTTTGAGCTTCTTGAAGTCTGTTAGAAAGATCAAAACACTCAGATTGAAGACCTTGTTGAACATTTCCTGTTGCTCTCACTTTCTCCCAAGCTTGGTCAGCAATACTTTGGTTTTTCTGTAATGTAAGTTTACATAGAAATGATAAACTTAAGATGCATTTGTTTATTAAAGGAGAATAATTATATAGTTGATTAAGCATTTGTATCCTTAGTTTTAGTTTGCAAGATATTCAAACAAGCAACTGCACATAACTTAAACCAGTGATTGTTGTTCCATAAAGCTGTGTCTATCTTGATCGCAGATGAACCACACATCAGATAAAAAATATGAAAAACGCTTTATTGACTATAATTATAGCTCTTTAATATGCAATAATAAATATTTTCACTGTTAAAATAGTGCTCAATACATCAATTGTAGAGTGATATAGAAATATTAAAACAGAACCTAAAAAAACATGTTGTCACTCAGAGTTTCACACGATGCAATCTTCAGACAGAAGAAATAAATGGAGAGATTTAAATGCTCTAACCAAATGGGCTAGTCTGCCTTCAAAATGGGTGCTGAAGATTAAAGTGAACACAACTGACATCATTATATTACCTTTGATCTAGATTGAAGATCTCCTAATAAATTAGAATAATGTGTTTCTATTTCCTCTTTCTGTTTCTGCCATGAGAGTTCTCTTTCCTTGGTTAGCACTGATAGTTTATTAATCTGGTCTTCACTAGAATTCTGTATTTCTTTCAAAGTCTCATCTTTTCTCTGTAAAGCATCCTCCAGCGTCAGGATCTGAAATCAAGAAACACTTATGGTGCAGGTGACCAACAACTCATTCATAACTTAATTCTTGGTCAATGAAGGCATCACCATGAACTCTGTTGGCAAAGAGAGACAGATATACTTTGATGAATACCCCTAAAATATGTGGCAGTGGAATAAGTCAGTCTGTAGCAAGCTGGATTGTCGTCTGCTGGGCGATTAGGTGCTGTGGGTTCCAATCCTCCTGCTTGTGTCAGTGCTTTCGGCTTTTTCACACACTTATACCTAATATATGAGTCAATGTTATTTTTCAAAATATTTCTGGGAATCTCAACCATGAAAGTTCCCTTCTAAAAGGATGCTGTTGCCATTGCTTTCGTGTCAAGAATATAAGGTTATAATCTACCTTATTATCAGCTTGTTCTAACATAGATATTAATGTAGTTATTTGTTGATATATCAAATCAGATAAATCGGTGAATGTAGCTTTAGGGTAGGGTTTGTCTCCTCCCCCAGATGGACCACATATAATCCTACCAGATAATAATAGTTGATATAAACCATGTAAATAGTTGACTCTATCCTAAAAATAATATAAATTTTTTATACTGGTATAGAATTTGGGTTCATGTTACAGGATGATTTAAAGGAATGAAAGACTGGCAGTAATTGCCAGTCATGTCTGTCGAAGTTCCAAAATGTTGTGCCTAAATTTAGGAGAATGTTGATCAAAATTATCTACAATCCACAGCACTTCCACATTTGGAATTTCAAACCATTAGTTGTTACCCCATTAAAGGGATTGTAAAAATGTTCAAATTTTCAGTCAGACGTCTGTGGATCCTGCAGTTCCACAAAAAATAAGTCTTTGATGATGTCAATAATTTGCTTTATCACTGTGAGTAAAGTTAAGATATACCTGTTCTTCTACTTTCTGTTTCTGTACCAACTTCATTATCTAAATATAGAAATAGATGTCAAATATTTAATTGGTTCCATATTTTCAAAAGTATAATCTTAACTTAATGCTTTGACTGAGTCCTGGAATGCTCTTAAGGAAATGTCAAACACACTGTGCCATTTTAACTTCAGCTCTTGAGCTGTTTGTTTGATTGTCTTACCTCTCCTGACAGTTCTTGTATTCTAGTTCTATCTCTATCAGAATAGGCTGATGTCGTCTGTAAATCAATCTGCATTCTAGCTAAAACACCTTCTAGTTCACCAAAATCACTTCTAACTCGGTTCAATTCTTTAGCTGTCCTGGTATAATTCTTTTGGGTCTCCTGTTAACAACAAATACAAATCATGTCAAGTCAATGTTAATAACAAATACAAATAATGTCAAGTCAATATTAATAACAAATACAAATCATTTTCACTTGCTTTCCTGTCAATGACAAATACAATTCCTTTCAAGTCTATGTTAATAACAATTACAAATCATTTCTACTGGGTTTCCTGTCAATAACAAATACAAATCATGTCAAGTCAATAACAAATACAAATTATATCAATTTGATTTCTTGTAAATAACAAATACAAATCATATCAAGTCAATGTTAATAACAAATATAAATAATTTTCACATGGTTTCCTGTCAATAACAAGTACAAATCATGTCAAGTCAATAACAAATACAAATTATATCAACTGCATTTCCTGTTGATAACAAATACAAATCATTTCTACTGGATTTCCTGTTAATAACAATTACAAATCATTTCAACTTGGTTTCCTGTCAAATACAATCATTTTAACTTCACTGGCCTTATTAAATTATCAGAAATGTGTGTCTTTAATGGAAATAGTCAAGATAAATAACAAAATTCTTACCTCAATAGCTTTATCTTTAGCTTGTATTAGTTCTCTATTATTCTTCAACTCTTTATTCTGAGATTCACAAGTCTTCTTATATTTATTCATCTATATAGTAAATATTGAAATATAATCAATGAAAATTTTAATGAGTGTTTGTAGATGCTAAAAAGCAAATTTTGCATTGGTATGTATTTCATACACTGTCTTGCGGAGATAAAGAACTTTTTCAAAAATCAACATCAGTTTATTGTTCCATCCAAACAACTTCACACTTTTTCCATATCATCTCTACCACTAGCACTGTAGATTTTGTTCTCCTTGTGTGCCTGTGCCAGTCAGTGAAACTCTTGACAGGACTTTAATCAGCAACAAAAATCTCTGACCAAGACTGTCTGTGTGCCCGCACCTTAAAGCGAATTGCATGAAACAGTGTTCACATATAAAACTATGAGATAAAGAGTTTTTTATTACCTCTTCTGTAACTGTATCAAGATTCTTTTTATTATCAATAAAAACATTTTTAATAGATTCTAATGTTTCACCAGGATTAGGTGATGCTTTCTTTATTTTACCATCTTCTTTCTTAGTTCCTGGTTAAAATACAAATAACAATTATAAGTTACCATTGTTTTAACACAAATTTTGTTTATTAATTTTAATGAGAACTTCTAGGGATACAGTAAAATTCAGCCATCCCTAGCACTTTCCATAATTAAGGTCTGGAGTTTGGTTATTATGCAATATCATAAAGCTCTGTGAAAGACACTTTCAGTTTATTATTTACATTCTCAAATGCGGTCATTATGTAGTGATTATAATGTCATGACACCATCACTGTTGCCAATTTCTTTAATGGAAGGTGACCAAATTTTAGATTTTCATTTTAAAAAGAGACATATATGGCTGAAATAAAACTATCAGCTTGATAGTTAAACATTCATACACAAGTTTCTACTCGTACATAATAAAGAAAAAGTTTTAGAGAGGTCACAATGTTTTCTTTAACTTACTATTAAAGACAGGTTTTTTAGGTTTATCACTGGTGCCAAATGTTTGTAAGATTAATTCTAATTCTTTAACAGTTCCATTATAATTCTCTTCTAAATGTATTTGTTTCTTCCTGGCCTAGAAAAATAAATTGATTTACATGAAATATCCAAATTTGATAACTTAATAAAAGTTCAAAGTGGTGAGATTCCCCAAAAAATTGCTAGATTCACCCCTTTTTTGTATAATCTTATTCTATTTTACAATGATAAAAAATGAAATTTTAACAAAAATTATCATGCTGCCTTTACATGTTATTTTTACTCGAAAAAATAAATCAAATGGCATAATATGTACAGTTTTAAAGGGACAGATGAGTTTGATTTGGATCATGAATATATGTAAATAGTCTTCATAAGTAGTAGAAATGTAACAAAATCGCATAAATTTAATTTCCTATTTCAATAGATGTCTTTTCTATAAATGGTTGTGTCTCTAGAAAAGATGACTCATCATTTGAACTTTCAAACGCAGATAATTCTGGACAGACATGGAATTGAATGCTCAAATTTTGACCGTGAGCTGTGGACACTACTCATTGACTTAGGTAAAAAATTACTGTTTCTGAGATTAAGGTACCATATGTAAGAAAAAAATGGTGCATCTGTCCCTTTTAAGTGTTTGTTCACCATATTTGACTTATGTGTCCACTTCTATAGTGTAAAGTATTCAACTGTCAGTCAATAGTAGTCAACCTTCACAATTTAGTGTCATACTACCAAAGGTTCACCCCATTATTAAAGAACTAATATACTACTAACTAACTACTAAAATTCAAATTGAAAAAAATAAACCGGAGGTTCACTCCTTAATTTTTGCTCTAAACTTGATCAATTTGTACAAGCAGTAATCAATTAGATAATAAATTTTGCGCACAATATTAGCATTATACTACTCATTTCAAAATTAATATGTAACACATGAATCTTGGTTTATTCCGATGCATTTTCCATATCTAATCTACTCCAACCTGCATTACTGAGAGAACCAGGGTGAAAAATTCAAAAGTACTTCTTGAAATATGACATTCTTTCTTCACTTCTCTATGGAGGAGTTCACTACTATACTACTTGATTTTGCCATTCTTTGGATAAGATTTTTGATTGACGGAATTGTCTTGCTTGTTCAGTTTTTTTTTTTATATTTAGTTTCTATCTACCAAAAATATACCTTAGGAAATTTTCTGGAGTGACAAATTTTGGTTGTTGTTTTATCACACATCTATAACAGAACATGTTATGTAATTATAAACAACTGTGTTATGTAATTATAAACAACTGTGTTATGTAATTATAAACAACTGTGTTATGTAATTATAAACAACTGCACACTGTTGTCATGTTATTATAAACAATATAACACTAATGTCATGTAATTATAAACAATAGAACACTATTGTCATGTAATTATAAACAACTGAACACTATTGTCGTGTAATTATAAACAACTGAATACTACTGTCATGTAATTATAAACAATAGAAGAAGAATACTAATGTCATGTAATTATAAACAATAGAAGAAGAATTCTAATGTCATGTAATTATAAACAATATAACACTAATGTCATGTAATTATAAACAATAGAACACTAATGTCAAGTAATTATAAACAATAGAACACTAATGTCATGTAATCATAAACAATAGAACACTAATGTCATGTAATTATAAACAATAGAACACTAATGTCATGTAATCATAAACAATAGAAGAAGAATTCTAATGTCATGTAATTATAAACAATAGAACACTAATGTCATGTAATCATAAACAATAGAACACTAATGTCATGTAATTATAAACAATAGAACACTAATGTCATATAATTATAAACAATAAAAGAATAATAATGTCATGTAATCATAAACAAAATAAGTCATGTAAATATAAACAATAGAACATTAATGTCATGTAATTATAAACAATAGAACACTAATGTCATGTAATTATAAACAATAGAACACTAATGTCATGTAATTATAAACAATAGAACACCCAAATAAATATTTAGATGTTGAATGTCTGTCTGATACTGTCACTTTTAAGATAATTACAAGTCACTAACCTCAAGTTGAGATAACCTCTTTACGAATATCAAGGCACATGCCTATGCTTGCATATTTATCAAGTTAAAATTTCGATCCACATAATGGATAAAATATGATTTATCATCTTAAGTATTTTAATTCTATATACCTTGCTGAGCTCTTCTTTTACTTCATTGAAATTTTTCTGGTGGATCTCTAATTCTTTAGATAATTTATTTATAACATGTTTTTTATCATCAACTTCACTAGTCAACTGTCTTCTAATATTAACATAGTCTTTTTCAGTTCTACAAATAGAATGTGAATTGGACCATTAACTCTTTATCATAATTTCTAGGTTGTAGCACACAAAGCTCTGCTTTTCTAACCCATTTCACACTCTGCCTTGGCCCTTGACAGTTCATTAAACCTTCATCTGTGGCGTTTGATTGGAGAGTTTTGAACATGTTCTTTTAACAATAATGAATTCTTCAAAACCAAGATCCAAAATTCAAATCTTGTTACTTTTCAGTTTTATCTTATTGAATAATCAAAACTTACTTGTCTAGCTTATGTATGGCATCTCTTTTAGTTCTTCTTTCTTCTTCATAAGCTTGTTCTATTTCTCTGCAATGTCCGAATAAATATCTTTTTTTTACATATATTATTACATTTCACCATGAAACACAGACCCAATCATCCAATAGTGAGTGAAGTGGTACCTTTTTTATCTTGCAGTATATAATGCCTAGCATCGAACTAAAGAAGACAATCTACAAAAAGGTTTGTCGACATCTATTTTGGAAAGTTCAAATCACACTTACCTAAGTTGTTTAGTCAACCTTTCAATAGATTTGGTAGCCTCAAAGTTAGCTGATTTTTCGACTTCAACCCCGCCTTCTAGATCTCGTGCTCTCAACTAGAATAGATCAATTAAACTAAGATTAAAATCATTGTCAAGAAATAGGATTGATTCCTATTTATATTAACTCTCTGCATATAAAAGGTTTGGTTGTGAAAGAACATTATGTAAAGGCAACCCCATTCATTGCACAATGAGGGAAATTTTGCCCACTGACTAATTTGTTTCCAAACTATGTGTACAGCTTGCAGCATGAAGGAATTTGATCTATTTACTCAACAGAGAGACAGATTTTTGCCAATAATAAAAAAAAAAGAAGAAAAAACTGATTTGAATAATGTTGAATACCCTTTTCCATCTTCTAACAATGCCAATTTGCATTCAATACCAAATTGTATATGCACAACTCAACTAAATACATTTCTAGTAGTTGATACACAAGGCATATAATTATGACGATAAGGAATAACAAGGACATGTCCATCTATATATTAAATATAGTTAATACCTGAACAATTTCAGAATTAAACTTGGTTTCTAAATGTGCAGCTCTTTCTAGTTCAATGTTTTCTTCTAATGATTTATTTCTCTGTAATGCTGTCTATAATAATAATACAGTAATATATCTTATACTTGGTAGTCAAAGTCTTGGTAGTCAATTTTTGTCGCTGATAAGAGTCTTGAGTAACATCTTGGGTGTGCCTGTGCCGTGACAGGATTTATAATAACAACCAAGTTTGATAATTATCTCTGATAGCTTTATCGTCTGCTGACATCATCCAATCAGATTCATTTTCCTTTCAAGTGCATGATACGCACGTAATGATTGACATGGTTGAAAACGGCCGACTAGAGATTTTTGCCTCCCGTGCCTGTCCGCGAAACTCCTGACAAGACTCTAATCGGCAACAAATATCTCTGACCAAGACCACTTGTGTGATGAAGGGGGATTTTACTACATTTAATATATAGTCCAATTTCCGTTTTCAAAAATCCTGATTGCTGACTGGTCATTCTTGACTATTTAAACTCACTGTTAGCCCAGTTCATGAGTTGAATTGTCAATAAATCTGGACTAAAACATCGAATTTCACTCAAGAAACATTGTGTCATCAAATAAAATGGATCATAAATTTGTGTCAACATATTGTACAACATCACATCTTGTCATTGAACCTGTGCAGAAAAGTAGGACGTAAAACTCCATTCATTTCATTTTTATTTGTCATTGAACCTAAATTAAAATTCTTCTCATGTAGAATAAACTACACACCTCTAGATCAGTTTTAAGTCTTGCTTCTCTTTCTTTAGAATAATCTAATTCTGTTAAAGTTCTTCTTAAATTTTCAGTATGATTCTTCATATCAGCTAGAAATGTAATTTTACAAATAAGAAACGTTTCAACTGATTTCAACACAAATCGTGATGTTTTGTTTCAACCAATCAAATTCAGACAAACACAAAATGAAACAATCAGATTTGTATTTAATCAAATGAGTGAATACAGTTTGTGAATAACATCTATATCAGTTATTCCAGTATACAGACAGCCACTATGTGCTAATCACATGTATATATCAAGAGGACATACTATATAGTTGTGAATATAATGCACACTTATTCATACCTCCAGTCCCATCTCTAGTAATAGAAATACATGCCTGATTTTAACAAATGATCTGAGTTATTTGTAAATACTACAAGTCATTTTCTATACATTTATCAAATGAAGCTTATATTAACTTCGATTTTAAGAGCAACAGTTATTAATTTCAAATAATTTAGATAATACACTTACAATCATGATCTTTGACTCTTTCTGATAATTCTGCTAAAACACTGCAACAGAAAACATGACCTTTAACAGATAACTTTACACTTCCTTCAATGGGATAAGTTAATATTGTATCTTGTAGTCTGATATTGAAAAAAATCAATGATTCAAATCACTTACATCTCTTGTTCCATTACTAAAGCATTGAGTTTATCTCTTTCTGCTATCAATACATCTTGTTCAGCATGGTATCTGGCTAGTAAATTATTCTACAAATATACAGTTCATTAGTAAAATAACAACAATAGTAAAAAACTCATGTCATTCTTTGGACACAAATTTTTCATCCGTTTGACCAATTGAATTCAAGCCATTTTTTTCACTGATTTTTTTAATCAGCAATAGTGATCATAGCTAACAGTCAAATTTTGAGCCTTCAAATCTATGTGTGTCTAGAATAATCCACGTTTTAATGTTAAAATGACAATGATGCCATATAAAGAAAAGATATTTAATAGAAAGTGAAATTCTTAGATTGAGGTATATTTTAAGAGAATTTTGCAATTTTTGTACATTTCTAGTACTTCTGAAGACTATTTACATATATTCAAGACTCAAATTAACCCCTGAAAAAGGCACCCTTTCCAATAATGTTCATACAGCCAGTTACAATATGAGCTTATATTCTAGATTTGTACCTTTTCATCTACATCTTTTGTATATCTCCTTTCTGATTCTTCATGTATATTTTTTAATGAATGAGTTTTTTTCTGTAAACATTGTACTTCATCACTTAAACTTCTTACTTTTTCTAAAAATATGAATACAAAATTTGTTAAAGCACATGTCAACAGGTTAGGTCAAAGGTTGTTGGGATGAATGTTCAAGAGGGCTGTTGTGAGACCCTAACTGTAGTGGCTACATTAAAAATAAAAGCTAATAAAAAACAGAAAGTTAGTGGTCTAATTTTAATTAACTTTTATAATATTTAATTACATCATTGCTCAGCATAAAATTTCATTTGCAATGTGTATGCAAAAACATAAAATAGATGGATTCAAAAATTTAACATATAACTATGGTTTATCAAAAGTTGGATATCAAAATCAAATGGATGGTTACCTTTTAATTCATCATTAGTGGTCAATAATAGAGTTTCTCTATCAACTTGTGCTTGTTTATACTGATTCCATTCTTGTTTTACTCTTGTTAGTTCAAATTCTACATTATGCCTATTGGCTTCCCCTTTCTCAATCTGAGTTCTTAATCTAGCTTGTTGACTTTCTAATGAAGCAACCTACAAATAAATCTAACCTTTTCAAATTTGGTTTCAATACTTTTTTTTTAATTCACCTAATTTCAGAGTTCACTATTCTCCATTAGAGCATGGAAAGAGGTCAGCACAATGTGGATGAACTCAAGGTTCACTTGTATTGAATCACCACGCCTGAAAGAATCTTGTATATTTTTTCATCATTTTTATCAATTTCTACAATTGTTTTCCTTAACAACAAAATGTAAATTAATACACTACATGCTACTATATTTTCTCCACATTGGCCTACCTCTATATTGGACCTGCTAGCTGACTCCAGTCTTTCCTTTTCAGCTGTATTCAGTCTGCGTCGAAGTTGTGATACTTGATCTATATGAATCAATAACAGATATGCATAAACTTACATATTATTTTATACCCTGATTTTTGTCCTAAATTGTTCTGATAACGTCATATAGGCTAAGCTAATAAGACAAAAGCATTAACACAATGACATAGCACAGTCAAAAGTATCGGTACTTTGCATTTAACTGCAAAATATCTTTAGGTCACATAATCATCAACAATATGCAAATTTGCTTGTATCAATATTTCTTTCATCTCTGCATTTGAATGACCGTATTTATAAACATTTCTGGATATCCTCAAAGGCTTACCTTGTTCACTTTGTAGTTCAATTTTAGCCTGTTTTAACTGTAGTCTGAGGTTAGCTAATTCTGCTGGATAATTTGCACTTGTATCCATTGTCAGGTTTAGTGAGGATGAGATATTCATACTTTGATCTGTCATTCTACAATTTAAAATAACATGTGAAGATTTTGTGTGCCATATATAAGTCCAGAGCATAGGGCCTAATGACTTGAATTAGGCCATGTCATTTATAAGGTTATATCACTCCGTCTTTAATAATAAGCATTCACCTATCTCGAATCCGATTCAATTTTCCAATGCCTAAGGCAATTGATCTATTACCAGGCATCAATAAACAATTGTTGTTTGAGGCACAATATTTTAGTGCAATCATTATGAAAATCACCTCTTCATATTAGGAAATAATAACTTGAACTTACTTGACAGGTCAGTGAATATCATAAATACTTCAACTCAAGTTAGAACTTGTTTCAGTTTGGTCAGAAGTCGATGAACTTCTCTAATATGGATGAAGTTGATTCGTCAAATACCGATTCAATCTTTTGGGGAATTTATTAGTTGGGTTACATGTCTCTTTTTTTCGAGATAACGCACTAAATTAAGTCTGAGATCAGACGAAAATAACTTTGAAAACTATATTTAAGTTTTGCCATTTACAAAAGCCGCCATTGTTTACCTACGAGTTCCGGACAGGGCTGAGATGATTATTTTGCTAAACTCTGATTGGACAATAATACAATTTGTACTTTATGCATTCGAATCTCTTCGTGGTCACACTATTAAAGATAAATAAGCATAATTATGATCTATGAAAGGAACTATCTAAAAATCTAAGACTTTTCTTATACAGTCCAACAAACTAAGCAGTGGAGATGATTATACCATTTCCCTGGTACCTAGATAATATCAATTTTAAAACAATTTTCAGGTAAAGGGAGACAACTCTCATAACCAATGTCAAATTTTTGCTCAATATCGGTCTGTAGTAATAAAGGAAATCATTTCCACTCTGTTTTTATTTCCTCCTTTAGGGATCATTTTAAAGTATATAATACAAAGCAGTGTTTATTCTTTCTTGTTAAATCCTGTCAAAGAACGTTAGTAAGCCCACAAATTACACGTTCTGTGCTTCTGAAAGTGGACCCAGTGTTGGCTTCAACCAAAATAGGCTTCAACCAACAGTAAGAAAATAAGGACAATTCCAGCATAATAGTTCCACCAACTATGATATCATGTTAACATACTCAGGTGCTCCAAAACAATCCTGCTTAAAAGTGGTTTTCTTATCTCTCCCATTCATTAAGAACAAAGCTTACCAAAGAATTAAGTGTTTTATTATAGTTTGTATATTTAAAAAATTCTACAAAAAGTAAGGTGATAAATATCATAAATAAAAGTGTATAATTGCTTACTATGAGAAAATAAGTGTATAAAATGGACGGATCCTGAAATAGAATGTATACAAAAAATAACAGAAAAATTTGTATAATAAAATAAATATAACTATGCAAAAATATATAGACTGAAAAATGGACGGGATTTATTAAGTTAATAATTGATAATAGGTAATTAGTTGCTAAATTCTAGAGTCACCGGTAACTCTTTGCTAATATATAATAAAGATACACATGAAAAAAAAAAATTGCTAAATAGTAATAACAAATTTGAAAAATTACTTATATCACAGATTGTGCAATCATGGTGCAAGATTATTATCTCCCTGAAGTTTTCAACAAAAACATAATATATTTAAACAACAGATAAACAACTTTGTTCACAGGCCTATTTGAAATAATTATAGTAAAGAAATTGTAACTCATGTTCTACGATGCTAAATTTCATAAAGTTTAACAAACCAATGTTTCATGATACAAATACAGTACAATATCAGATAATACGTAAAATACACACAAATTATTTCAATGAAGGGCAGTATTGAAATAATAGTTTCCAACATATCCCTACAATTTTGTAAGAAATTAGGTTTTGAACTTCATAATTAGAGACACATTTTCTAGTGAAAATGAAATGATTAATACATGTATAAAATCTGATCTACCAGCAATAAGGAATGTAAATGAAATGAAATGAATGGAGTTTTACGTCCTACTTCAATAAGGAATGTAGAAGTGAAAAATAACTTATCAAACCTATTAACAAGAAACAGCTGTAACAATACCACAACAAATATAACATGCTATCAGACATGCTATAGTCTATCCAGCTATCCAGGGACAATCCACAATGTAAAAATCAGGTTTCAGGTCCAATAAATGCTATTTTGAACTACTAAAAATAATAACTATAAGTTCATTTCATAAATACCTATAAATAAAATGAACTGCTCCCCTGGTTTCTTATCGTACCTGAATATGCGTAAATATCTTTGATAATCATAATAAGGCATCAAACTTGTATCTCTACATCACAATACAAGCTCGACTTGTTTGTCTTGTTAGAGGTCTAGCGTTCGACTGATTTGAATTATTAGCCTCATTTTGTCTACTTTGAGGCCCTGGATTTACAGTAGATCTTTTTACTGAAGCTGTAGATGATGGACGGCTATCACTTGGTTTATTTGTATCAGGTTTTGGCTTAGTTTCCCCTGTTTTATCTGGAGTTTGTTCTTTAGCTGCAGGTGTCTTTTCCACAGACTGTGAAGTGGTTTTTGATACTGCGGTTGGTTTTTGCTCTTTGACATTTTCAATCTGTCGTTTAGCTGAACCTGCAAATAAATGAATTAACATTTACTAGATTTATGTCCTGTAACAAGGAAGAATTATAGTTTTCCTTAATCTCTGATTGTAATGTTAAACACATCAGTGCTGATGTGATACATCAGTGAATCGCTGTATCGCGATACCACATATCACAATACATGAATCGTATCGCAAGGCTGCGTATTGATACTTGACAATAAGAAAATAATAAACTACCATGGAAGTTAAGACTGTTATAACTTCCAGTCTATTTTTGACTTGTTATGTACATATAACATCACTGAAGTCATAATTAGATATGACTACATACTATACTGAAAACTGCCTGAAAATGAGTCTAAGCTTCGACAGAACATTTATAGTCAATCAAAAAGAAGCAGACGCCAGATTTCCATTTCTGAAAAGTGCTCTGAGAACCACATTTGACCTTGATCAGCTAGTTAGATAGGTTATTATATTACCAATGCGTTGTTTGTGTCCTTTGAATTGTGATGATACATCTGAGATATTAACTTCACGTAAAGCTTGTAACATATAATCTACAGTTAGACTTTCTGTAGCTTTACTGATATTAGTTACATCTTCATTACTTAATACTGTTACTCTCATACTCTTCTGATGTTCTTCACATAACCAGATTATTTTACCATTAGGTAAATGGCATCTGAAATCACAATAATACAGTGTGAGCACCTCACATCACTCTTCAACCTGATAGCTTTAAAGGGATACTAATATGTTTTTCGTGACTTTTTATGTGTATTGGGGGCACTGATGGCATCAATTTGCACTATTTCAATTTTCAATCAGACGTCTTTGGTTCTTGCAATTCCACTAAAACTAAGCGTTTTATTACGTCACTATCGCTGCTAATACAAGCTCCAATACAACGATCACTGAGGTACATGCAGGTTTACTTTTTCCATTTTGAAGAGATTTGAAATAGTCAACAGTATGAAGTGTAGCACAGATGGCCTAATAGTGTATTATCAGAATTTGAATGTATTTGTTAAATACATATATCTGTTTACCAGACAGTAATGTCAGCTAAATGCTAAACATTTAACCAAAATGTAGTTCCTATCCCTGTAAATTTTGGCATGATGTAGAGCCACAATATCAAAAAAGCATTACCTTGATAAACTGCCCATAGTTTTTCTTATATCTGCTTGAATCACTTCCTGTCTGAGTTCATAGTAAATCTGTTCAAAATCAGCATTAACTGCTACTTGTGGGCTCTAAATAATAAATGAAATTTTACAAACATTTGTAACCCTACAAACATATTCATACTGCATCAAAGTTTAGTTAAGCTTTATGAATCCAATTAAAAAGACATCTAGCTTGGAATCAGTTTCAACTGCTCTTTAATTTTCATTGCATTGCAGATAAACCATAAGTCTTGAATCAAGTCTTATATGTTATGAAAGTGAAAATTTTTTCAACATAACACTCATGTACATACCTCTTCTAGCCATTTTAAGAATTTTTGTCCCTCTTCGCTTTCTAGACAGTTTAATAGTAGATGTTTATTGTATTTAGCTATAGCTGTAACTCTAGCTATATATGGTGAAAACTTCTCCAGATTCGTGGTTCCAAAATCTTGAGGTAGTGGTAAGGGTTCACTGCAACAATGCCATCCCTTAAAAAGAGTATAAAAAGCATTCTAAACACATTCATAATCTTAAGAAATACATATGTGACATAAATAATAAAAAAATAAAAATGCAATTTATTTAAAGATAATTCCATTACAAACAATAAAGTAGGAGGAACCATTTTTGCTAGGAAAGCAAAATTTTTGACAGTCCTATAAACCAGCTAGTCAGTGGTCAAACCTCTTGCCAGTGATCTTTAATTCAATATTCATACCCAATTATAGCTTTTCAGATTTAGGGTAATTTATTTAAGATAATCGAAATCGACCAAGCTGGTCGGTATTTTTGGAGTTGGCTCCAACCAGAATAGCTACCACTCATTCTAACATTAAATAATACCCCAGTCCATATGTTAGTGTTTACATGTACCTCATCATTTTCACACAGTATATTAACAGAAAATTTCTGTCTGTAAAAGTCATCATCATCTACTAGTTCACTTTTACGTTTCTTTATCTTCTGATTGTCAGTACTTTCTTTTTTCTTATCTTTATCTTTCTTATCTTTATCTTTCTTATCTTTATCATTGTTGTCTTCTGTTTCTTCTGCTGAAAAAATCATTCAGAACAATTAAAAAATATCAAACTTTAGTTGTATATTTTGCCTCTATGTGTTAATGATGCTAAAAAAATAAAATGGGCAATCTGATGCTGGATACAATGAAGAAAAGTTTGTCAGTTTGTCTGTCTATCCATCTAAAAAATATCCCCTCTGA